TGAGAATGTAGCTGTGTAAACTTCAAATATCTGCTCGGTTTATCAAGACATCACATATTTGCCAAAGTCCTGCAACGTTTTCGGAGACGTTGTTACCCACCAGCTCGATAGCTGACCAGGAGGTCAAGGGTCACTAGAGCCGGCAAAAGCAGCAAACGTCCAGCACATCGTTTTCAAACCCCCCGCGGTCTTTGGTTACTCAGGTTAAACATGATATATAAGTCACTTAGATGTCAGGATGTAGCCCCTGTTATTACTTCTGCACGGTTCTTGTGCTGACTCTTCTTGACAATCGTTTCAGGGCTTCAGGCATCTCTGATTCTTGGGCACCCTTTCCTACCCGAATTTCTATTATTTCCATTATACCATTAGATATGTAATGATATAAATAAAAATATAAATATGTACCATGATGACCACTTTGTTCTGTTCTGTCTGCCTTAGATTCATATGAAGACCATGCCTGCTGCTATGTATCGCCTGCTGACCGCCCAGGAGCAGCCTGTTTACATTTAACCCACGAACTGACCTCACAACTCCCTCAACCCAGCCCAGACCTCATCCTGTATAGCTGATGAATTGTAGTGAGTTGTTAAGATTGTTCTGTTGCTCAGACTCATCTAGCTGCAACACAAAAAACAATATTATCCATGTGTATGTAGGCTTTTATGATTACAATTAAAAGATGTTCACACCTGATACATTTTCAGTACCCAGTAGTGCCCCAGAGTCTGCAGAGTTTATGGTTTACTGTTGATATTTTGAAACACAATATATAATAACGTGTATTGGCGCTTAGTTCATGAAACTAAATCAGTTTCCTCAATGTTAAATTAGAGGAATGATGTTTGTTTGCACAGTAAAAATCTTATTTCCAATCTTACACATGAAGCACATCCAGACACAGTTGTGGGCAAAAGTTTACATACTTTCGTGACATTGTGGGTCACTAGATGGTTTTGGTGGCCATCAACAAACCTCTGGTGTGATTCCAGCTGAATATTGGATCACTCTTCTTGCCACAATTAGTCAAGTTCATTTAAATTGGTTGCTTTCCTGGCATGGACCCATGCTAGGCCCAAACATGCTGAGGAAAGCTATTCCAGAAGTAGATGAAACATTTCTTGATGCTCAATCATCCAGGTAAAGAAATCCCAAAAAGTCTGGCCGTAGAGTTTCCAGTGGGAGAAATGTTTTATCATCATCAGCTGACTGCAGGTTTCAACCTTAGAAACAGGACATTTGCACAATGACTGACACCAGCAGCACTGAATGAACACTGGGCTGGGAGGTCAGCTTATGATCATTAGTCTGCAAATTGCCATGACGTTGATCAACGGATGATCTGATATCGTCGTGTTGGTGTTGTTCCCAGATCATCATGAAAATGTTGTTCCAGGTTGACCAATCACATTATTGTGACGTTATTCTTTGCGCACCAACCCATTCGTGCATTTATGAAATTCCAATGTTGCAAGGACAATATCAGTTCTGCTTAGCGTTTAATAAAGGGTTAGGGTCCGTTGATCGGCGGACAAAGGCGGTTTCTCGCAGCTTAAGTACAGTTTTTTGTTTTACGCCGGTTTTTCCCGAAGTCGCAAAAGTATGACATCACAACATTCTGATTGGTCACTTGCAATGTTGATCCTGGAACAACCTTTAGTTTGATGATCTGGGAACAACACCAACACGAGGATATCAGATCGTGCTTAATCAACAACCATTGATCAGTGGCCATGAGTACCATTCACAGAGATGGGGAATGTCTACCATCACAGCATTGTGAGATGGTGTGTAAATCTACAGTCCTTTGTGCTTTAGTGAGTTCCTTTAAATTTGTGAGTATTGATCAATCTGAATACTATTATTCTAATCTATAATCAGCATAAGTTATTAAACATTATGTATAGAGAGTGAGAGAGCCTGCATGTACGTATACTTTTGACCCAGCATGGATGAGAGAAAATCCAAAACAAATTCAAACTTTTTCACCTCATTCTTATTTTTTTAAAGTTTAAAGCACATGATGCCTGTATGTAAACTTCTGAACATAACTGCATCTGACACTAGAACCCCGATTTTCACCACAGGGCACTGCCGATGTTACATTTTTGCACCAAACCCGTGTATGAAAAAATCCTCGTTTATGTAGAATTAAATTACGTAGGTTTCACTTCGTGGGCTCAGTCGTGTTTCTACTCTCAGCTCAGAATCAGTGTTTTCAGCAGATTATTCTTGTTTATTACCAGAATTTAATGATAAATTAACTCATTCTTATATAGCACTTTTCTACTTTATCCCAGCACTCACAGCGCTTTATACAACCTCATTCATCCATTTTTACGAGCACTTCTTTCTGGGGTTGTGCTTTCGATCTAACAATCGCACACATTCATACTCCGATTCCCCGGAGAGCAGCTCGTATCTTGCCCAACGATATTCGGCAAACAGCCAGGGATTGAACCGTGAACATTTCAATTAGTAGATGACCTGCACCACGTCCTGAGCTACAGCAGCCCGAAATGATCCGTCATCACATTTTAAAATGAGGTAAATATAACCTCAGAGGAACAACATGTTACAGCATCATTATTCTTAATATAAATTCAGCCCAAATGCAGAAGCATGTGTGAAAAATTAACTACTGTTTCCTGTAGGAATTAAGTGGGTAAATACACCTATTTATCCTCATGAGCATAATCAGTGATTATTGATTATCAGTTGATTTGATCACCTCTAGAAAAGGAAAAGTTTTAGCAGTTTGTGGATCTGGAGCACTCGCTTATCTGGTATCTTCACTGCCATGGAGAAAAGACATCAGCAATTAACTAAAAAGCAATTATTAAGGCTAATAATAAGGCTCATAAGGGGATTTCCAAACAGTTTCAAATCCGTCATTCCACAGTCACAAAGTTTTTCACAAGTGGAAAACATTCATGGCAGTTTCCTGTCGTCTCGTCTCAGCAAGTTCATTCCAGCTCTTGCAAAACTCAGAGCTACACTCGACTCCACATGCCTCAGTTAGCCATGTTAAATGTTCAAGTTCCACATAATACAGTAAGAAAAAACATGGAACAAGTATGGCATCTTTGCATTTGTTTCCGAGAAAAAGAGCCTAAAAAGATATACCAGCATGGCTTAGCTTTGCAAAACTGCATCTGAACTAACTCGTTGGCTTCTTGTGCAGCAACAAGACCTGGGCACCTTGCAATCATTGAGTGAACTCCTCGGTGTACCAAAGTATTCTAGAGTAAAATGTGAAAAAGCAAAGAGTGAAGGTGTTGCAATGGCCCAGTCCCACCTCAAGCTGGGTGAAATGCTGTAGTGGACCTTAAGAGAGCTGTTCATAACCAACAAAGCATGGAAGCAGCTGTGTGAAGGACAACGAGACACGAGACGAGTGACTGATGACGTCACACACGTTTTTGGTTGCTTAGGCAAAGCTCTAGACTAACCTTTTTGCCACGGTTGCAAGGCGCATCAGCACAAACGTTAGGCGCACCCAAATCTTTCAACCGCATCACTTAACACCGCAGTTTTACATGTGCACTTTTTGGGGGCATTGCTGTCTATACAGACAATTTGTATAGACAGCAAATGATTAACTAACAATCTTGTCAACACAAAGTTACTGAAAAAGTGCTTGTGTTTAACCCTGGAGAACCATTCAGGGGTTGATGGCTCCGTGTCAGAGCTGGCTATTTCAGACAGATCAGGCCTTAACTTAACAAATAAGTTATCAATTGTTCTTCATCTTTCCTCATTACCCACAGCTACATCCACTTCTGTCGGGCCCAGGCTGCTCACCGGGGCTGGGTATCGTCACTGATTTCTATAATCCATTCGATTCGATTCAGTTTAGCCTCAAACAGTCAGAAATATTATAATTCTGATGATTTATCAGAACTAACACTTGTGAGACGTCATCAGAGGCGTGAACATCACAGCTGACGCCTTTGTGTCAAAGTAACTGAGGATAAAACAGAAAATGAAGGAGATTTTCCTGACCTGGCTTTTTATAGCAGATAACCTTTAAAATATTCTACAAGTTTGCATAATTTTAAAAAGTATAAATTTCTTCAGTATTGAACAGCAGAAATGAGGCTTTCTTGTCCGAGGACATTTAATTAACAACAAAGAAAAAGACAGCGCTGTAAACAAGGGTAGACTGGTGGGTGATAAACAGAGATTTGAGACGGGAAACTGTTCCTGAAGTACAGAGAGAGAGCTGGGCATGAAGTGTGATTTTATCGTGCTGGAAGCAAAACAGCAAAAGTCAGAGAATTAATGACGACATTTATCAAATGTGAAACGTAGTTTGGATCTTCTTTTGCTGCTGGTTCGGTGAATTTTGGTTGGAGAGAAATAAAACCTGCAGCATCAGAATCGAGCACAAAAAGACGTAAACACAGAGCAGACCCGACGCATCAGAGTCGGCGAGCTGTCGGCTTTCAGCCCGGCGGCGTGTCCGTGTACGGGCCGTACCCGACGGCGTGTCCGTGTACGGGCCGTCGGGCTGAAAGCCGAGAAAGAGAAAGCAGATTCTGATGCGTCAGGTCTGTGTTTACGTCTTTGTGTGGAGTCGGTTACCTGCTCTCATTTACTGTTTGGTGGTTGTTGAAATAGTTTTGAGAGCTTTAACCTGAGTTTTTTCTTACGGTGTTATGTGGAAACGATGTGTGTCAGCTGACGACCACACGGAGACTCAGAGTTGCGGACACACTCTAGAGCGCTGCTTAGGTCGTTCTACAAGCTCGAGTACACTTAACTTTTTACACATTGCTTCTGCATTTTGACTTTTGTTAAATAAATCAATTTAAATTAATATGAGGTTATGTTTCTTTATAGTGATGAAAGTCAAGCTTTTTCCATAAGATGCATTTTATGCAAATACATTGTATAAATAACTATGAGTTGCATCTGAATGCAGATAACATCTGTGGGCAGATGTGACCTTATGTCTTACCCTGTTACCCTTGAATACAGAAAGAAAAACACAGTTTCTGTTTCATTTTGGCTTTTATATCAAACAGTCAGCAATGTGCAAAGATGTCTGTATAACGTAACCCACAAATGTGACGCCTGTGGCTGTATGTGAATGTACAAGCAGCAGCAGGATGTACGACTGTCTGTTTTTGGTTTGAGGGGACTCTGCATCGCCTAAAGAATGTACACTATACTTTGCTTGTACAAAAACAATAAAGCTCAAATATTCTACTATTCAAAACATAAATATGAATAAAGAATTCTGCCTCTGCCACTTTGTGATGAGTGAAATAAACAACACTTCTTGCAGCCTCTCTATACACCTGATTGATCACCATCCCAATCACAATGTTCCCATTAGATATCTATTAAGACTGACCTGTTCCCAACAAGCTCCACCATGCTTGTCTTTAAAATGAACCAAATAACTCCAATATTTCTTCACGACTGGTGGAAAAGCTCAATGTGATGATGTCATTCAGCTGAGAAAGTGAAGAGTGCAACAGAAACAGCATTTCAGACATAACTTCATTAGTTACTTTGACAGATAGTGTGTATGCTGCACAGAAATTCAGATGTGAGTCACTGAGTCTGTGAATGCTCCCAGCATTTAACAGGCTTTTAGGAACAGGGCAAGTTGCACAGGTCAATGTTCTTGTTAAAGATGATGGAAAACTCCTGAGAAAGCAGCTGGTGAAGGCTGATGCCATCATGAGTATAGACCCAGCGTTCACCTGTCCAGCCGTAGCGCTTGGGTCCGCTGCAAGCACAAGAGAAGACAGGAAGAGGGAAGTAACATCACTCTGTACTGACTTATAACAGATTCTTATTAAACCAGTTTGTCAGCAGAAATATAAATAAAAGTTCCCGTCTCATCCCTGAGGGCGGTTTGTCCTTCAAGCCAGAGGCCTGGCAGTTTGAGGGTGTAAAGGAATTTATTTTATTTATGTATTAGTCACATTATGTTATTGTATGATGGCTTGGTGCCACTGGATTTGAACATGTCTCACACTCATACAGTAAGACA